TCCTCTTCCCTTCCTCTTCCCTTCCTCTTCCCTTCCTCTTCCCTTCCTCTTCCCTTCCTCTTCCCTTCCTCTTCCCTTCCTCTTCCCTTCCTCTTCCCTTCCTCTTCTCTTCCCTTCCTCTTCTCTTCCCTTCCTCTTCTCTTCCCTTCCTCTTCTCTTCCCTTCCTCTTCTCTTCCCTTCCTCTTCTCTTCCCTTCCTCTTCTCTTCCCTTCCTCTTCTCTTCCTCTTCTCTTCCTCTTCTCTTCCTCTTCTCTTCCTCTTCTCTTCCTCTTCTCTTCCCTTCCTCTTCCCTTCCTCTTCCCTTCCTCTTCTCTTCCCTTCCCTTCCTCTTCCCTTCCTCTTCTCTTTCTCTTCCTCTTCTCTTCCTCTTCTCTTCCAGATCCAGGAGAAATTGAATTCCTTGTTTCTTCTTAGTGAACATGGAGTTTTCTCCTTTCTTCTTCTGTTTCAGCTTGAGTAATGTGGTAACAAGGGGAGGGGAACAGGCTTCCTCCAGCCAGATTAAATGGGCTGGTTGAAGACAGACGTACCCTCCTTAGCAGAGGTTGGTCTTGCCCGTGTTAGGGGCAGACGTGCCATGCCTTTGAGCTGCAGCTTCTGCATCCGGAAAAGCGCAGCGATGCTCAGCTGCTGAAGGGAGCAGAGATAACGTGCCCAGGGCAGCTCACCCACTTCAACCTGTCCAGTGAGAGGGCGTAAAAAAGGGGAAACAAAGCCGGATACTGAGAGCGTTGCTTCTCAGGAGTGTAATTCTGGAAGGGATTTTGTTCAGCCTCTTCTGTCTCCTGCCCTGAAAACTTAAACATAAACGTGAGAGATGCTGCCAAGGTGACTGTCACCTCTGAGAGTTTCTATTATAGTCTCCTTTCTCCAGTGACTTTCTCTTTTCCCAGTATGTCTACAAACCAGTGCAGCAGCTCCCAAGGGCTGAAGCAGACCAGTTTGCAGGCTGCAGAGCCTCGTGCCCGTGCAGCCCTGCCTCGCTGCCTGCTGGGCTGACATGACCCCTCTGCCACAGGTAGCCCTGCTCTGTGGCCCGCCCGGCTTGGGGAAGACCACGTTGGCCCACGTCATCGCGAAGCACGCAGGGTACAACGCCGTCGAGATGAATGCCAGGTGAGCCCGCGCCGGCTGACCAGCCTTGCCCTGCCCCAGGAGCTGGTGTGGTGCTGGCGATGGCGTGGTGCCAGTGGTGGTACTGTGCCACAGCAGCCTGGCACCCGTTTGTCTTGCAGTGATGACCGCAGCCCCGAGGTTTTCAAAACCCGCATCGAAGCTGCCACCCAGATGAAGTCTGTGCTGGGTGCCAACGAGAAGCCCAACTGCCTCATCATCGATGAGATAGACGGCGCGCCCGCGGTGAGCCCAGCCTGGATCTGGCCACCTTTTGCATTAACAACTGGATTGTTGCCCTCTTAGCAGCTCCTCTGTTTTAGGAGCAGTTTCTTGCCTCTGAACTGCAAGAATTCATCCCTTCTGTCCTTGATTTTTTTCTTCTTGTTTTTTCCCCAAGGCATCTATCAACGTGCTGCTCAACATCATCCACCGTAAGGATGCGGAGGGCGAGGTGGCAGCCGGCGCGGGCCGGAGGAGGCGGCGTGAGGGCGGACTGCTGCTCAGGCCCATCATCTGCATCTGCAACGACCAGTTAGTATTGCCCAACCAGTTAGTATCACCCGACCAGTTAGTATCACCCGTGGGTGCAGGGAAGGGTGGCGAGCTGAGACCCTTGCACCTGCTGTTCCCTCCAGCCACATCCTTCCTGCGCCCAGTTATCTGCCGTCAGATCTGCGGCTTTGAAGCACCTTATGAAAAATAAAACTACAACACGCTCAGCTTTTCTTAAACCCCCCAGATTTTGTGTCTGCTGGGGTGGCTTGTAGCTAGCTGTGAGTGTGTGGTCGTGTTTGTGCACACCCTAGTGTGCAGTGATGTACAGGCAGCTGCTAAATAACCCATCTCCTTGGAGTGGAGCATTAATAGCTGGATTTCTTCCTCTGCAAGGGTGGCTTAGAGATCCCCGTGCTTCCCTTTGCCAGGTACGTCCCAGCCCTCCGGCCGCTG